CCAACGAAGTTTCGTGATAATTTGCAGTAATTTGTTCAAATTCACTCTATCTACAATAATAATATACAAGGTAGGAAACACGAGGTGCCATTTTCGCCGACGTGCTCTCATTCAACACAACTTTTTCCACGAAATTCGAACTCCAACGCAAAATAAACATGCCAGGATCGTAGAAATAGGATTACAGCAGATATAGAAAGCAATGAAGCTTGCCCAGATAGAGAAACGACTCCCACAGACTTCGACAAACTCGAAGAATATAATCCAAACACACCGAGAATACGCTCGCCGAAGCAGCCGGGCCAGATCAACGCGCGGCCAAGAAAATGAGGCCTGGGCACTGTACAAAAAAATTCCATCCCGGGAGACCTGGGGTGACCTTTCTAGGGACCGATACATCATTTGCCCAAAGCCACCCTCCCCTGCTGGAAAAATACTTGATAGAAGGCAATTGTTCTTCCTAGCCAATCACTATGGCCTGTTATAAAGAGATTACTTTCCTCTCGAACTATATTCAGCTCCTGGCGCTGGTCCTCAGAAAGTTTATCAAACATCAATAGGGCAAGGTTATAAGGGCAAAGGAAAGAACAACGAAGGACGATTTACAAGTAAGTTTCATTGATCTTTATTTAGTATTTCCTAGAAATTTTAGGATGATATTTTTACCCCATACAAACACTGTAATTTTACTGGAACCGTACTGTGGTACTATCACAGAGCCTGGGTTACCTGTGCAACATGCAAAAGGGTGTGCAAACGGACGCAACATTCAAAATCCAACAATGTTGCGTCCCTTTTCACAGCGCCATAGACGCAAAGCATCATGATAAACTTGATTAACAATGGTAGTGTTTCCCAGGGCGATCCGGTTTTAGTCTCTCTTAAATTTTTTGTTTAACTAAATAAAATCTTCACCCTATTTACAAGAAATTCAACGCAATCTAATAACAATCATACCCAAGGCTGGCAGATCTCTATGTTTATAGACTGAACATAAAAACCTCATCCGCTCTCCTTCTTTTTTAGGCCCCTATTTTCGCGATCTTCGTTCTTTAATTCCAAAGCCGGATAAGGAACTTTAAGTAGGTAAACTTCTAGTTACAATAATTTTACCTTAATCCGTGACAGTGGATCATGAGTTGTACGCTCTTCAACTAAAGTCAGCTCTTCTTCCAGCGCAGTGCATGTCCGACCTGACTTTGACAGTCGTTTCTATGGATAGAATATACAGCAGGCCTCGGTTGTTCAAAAGATGGATGGCGCTATCTACCGTAAACATCTCTAACCAGCGGATAATGCAATTAGTTTCCCTAATACTTATCCGCTGGATAGTGAATTATCCGGTGGATAGCGCGCTATCCAACGTTTGAACCTAGGCCAGATAAATAAACAATCTTTCTGAATTCGAGCTTCAAAGTTAATGAAATATACAAGTTTACCTGTCTTTAAAAATGCTCGCAAGATAACATATATGTGCAAATATTGCATTTTTTAAAATTCTCTATCCTCCTCTCCTTTACATAAGACATCTGTGACACCTGACACTTTCGCGTGTTCAGATTCAGAATTGTGAATTGATTTGTTTCCTCGTTTGCTGTATAATCTTATATGACATACAATGACACGGTAACCTGCAAGTTTGTTATTGTAAAAGTCTCTCTAGCTTTTACTTATGATTGTTGACAAATGATGTGCACCATAAAGGCTGGTTTTCACTAACGACGGAGTCGGAGTCGGAGTCCTAATCAGAAGCGAAGAACTTTACGAACTATTGAACACAGCGTTCTAATTCCGCTTCCGACTCCGACGTTTACGATCAAGTCAAAACTTGTAGGTCATCGGAGTCGCAAGCAGAAGCGGAAGAACTAAACCAATCATAAAGCATGGGAAAGCGCATTGTGATTGGTTTATCCTTCCGCTTCTGCTTCCAACTCCGACAATCTGGTTTTTACTTGATCGTAAGCGACGGGGTCATAAACAGAGTCGGAAAAAAATGGAAATGTTTTAATTCTTCCGACTCCGATTCCATCGCGCTTATGACTGCTGACGACTCCGATTTGTTATTTTCACTACGTTATAAGCGCTTTTACGACTCCGCTTACGACTCCGACTACGACTCCGTCGCTAGTGAAAACCAGCCTTAAGCGGACTAATGTTGGACGTAGATGTTTCCTCAGTTCACCCGTTGAATCTTTTAAGTCTTTGTCTTTTGCTTCTTTCTACCATGGTCAAAGAAAGCAAAAAGGGTAAATGACTAAAAAACTGATCATCACCAAAAGAGAAAACCTTTTCAGTTCTTCCGACATTTATTCAGATTTAGCAAGCTAACCGTCGTACGTCCATGAACGACAACATCAACTGAATTAAGAAATTAAAAAAGGCTGCGGCAAAAGGGTCGCTATTGACTGACAAATTTAAGGGTGTGGAGGGGCGGGGTACGGAACTTCAGTTTTATTTCAGCCTCTAATTAGGAGTTACGTCACGTAACGTAACGTAGGAGTTAAGTCACGTTTTCCTACGGTAGGAAAACGCGGCATCTCTTAACTGAAGGATAACATTTTGTCCAATTAAGGCTCACAGATCAGTTAACCACACCCCCTAATAAAACCCCCACACGAAGGAACTGTTACTTAAAAAACCCACCTTCTTAATCACATAAAAATAATTGATGTTTAATTTTTCCAGTGTTATCCGGATAACGCGAGTATTAGTTGGGGTGGAGGAGGGAGGTGGGGTGGGGGAAAGAGAAGCTCGTTCCGTTTGTACGTAAATACTGAACTCACTTCACTTTCTGAGTTTGCGTACTGCTGGATTTCTTCCACTAGAGTTAACTTCTCTTGAGCCAGATTCCTCACGTGATCAAGCAATTCATCGTCATCCAGTTCATGATCAACTGTTCTTTGAACATCGCCGCGGAATGTGTGTTCAACCAACTTCCGCCGGAAACGATCAAACTACAGAAGGACATAAATACACAGCCATTTTGAAGTAATTTCTGTAAGCCCCACCTATTCCCATTTTGAGAATCGCTTTGGTAGCTCGCTTGCACGTGACCTGATTCCCGCGATACCCAAATAAAATGGCAACCTGATATAACAAGGTGCCGGGGGAGTGTGAAGTGTAACCTTTATGAAAGGGCACGTTAATACTGGGGTTTTCATTCCCAAAATTTGCCTCTAACCGTTGGCTAGGAATGTTGTACGTCATATTAGGGTATTGATTGTACCAAATTTCGGTTCTAAATTGCGTACTTGCAAGCTACAAGAAGCAGGGAACTGGAAAGCCCTTTCCTTACATATATTTCAGACCAAAATATTTGATTTTTCCTGCCCTTTTTCAAACCCAAGTCTCTGCACTAGAATGGCGAACGATAAGAGACATACAGTCATACCCAGTAAATACGGACACTCAAAGGACTATAGAAAGTGTTCGTATTAAGCGGGTTTTGTTATTTAAGTCAAAAAACACCTTTTCTTAGAACAAAATTCTTAAAAAATATAGGACTAGCACATTAGCATAGTGAAATTAGACATCTCTAACTATCACAAATCAGAAAATTCCGCACACTAAATCGACGAAAACACTCAAAATTCGCTCATCTATATATTACTTAATCAAAACCGTTCTCTGTATAACTCGTTTGATGCCAAAATAGATGTCTACAAATCGCCCTATCCGGTGTACTGTAGCGCTGGGAACATCGACATGCTGTCAACTGATGATGGATTTTTTTTACCTTCAAAAAGAAAAGATTTATTACAGCACATAGTTGATAATGAAGTTTCGGCATTAGCGAGGTTGACTTTTTATGAGAATCTGTTGACTGGGCAAGAAATAAGTGTCCGTATTAACGGGTGCCCGTATTAACGGGTTGAATTTAGGGAAAATGTAAGGGGTTTCTTTTCCCAGGGACAAAGAAAACTGACTAAATCTTGCTTTTGTCGCTCTCTGAGTCCAACATTTATTAGAGGTCATAAAACTTTCCCAGTGTTTCATGCAGATCGACTAACAGTGACTAATATCGGGTTACCCTGCCGTCGAAGTCAACCTTCCAGACTTTGGAAAGTACAATGTGATTGGCTAGGCTTGGGAAAGGAATGTTGTTCTCGATTGAGCAGGCGTTTGTGGGGACGGACGAAATACGAGCTTCCCTAAAAACGCCCGCGTAGGAGGCTACGCTCCATATTACCGGCGGGAAAATTAACGTTTTAGGAAATAAACGCGACTTGAATTCGTGAAGCCTTAATTTCCTATAAAAAAGGCAATAACCAGAAGGTCATAGGTTCGACACCTGTTTGGAGAATTCCAAAATCTGGTAATATTATGACCTTCTGCAATGTGGTCGGACTGGCTCTGTTTCAGGCAGAACATCCGGGATATTTAGGTCTAGGTTGCTATGGCAACTAACCTGTCTTCCTTCGCTGAGATGATCTCTCATCTTCTCTTACTCGTGTTCTTAATCAGCGATGGTTTTAATCCTTTCCTTCAATTGCTTCTCTGTGGTTTGACGTTTCTGAAAAGGGCAAAAAAAGAAATCAAAGAAGTAAAATAACATAATTGGTACTCTCATTCACAGGAAAAGACAAGAGTAGACACTCTGTTTGAATACAGGCTTGGGTAACGATGCACAAATGATCTATCTCAATGAACTGCCTATGCAAGCCGTTTACAAATAATCCTACGGCTAAACTTAATGCATGTAAAACCGGCAGAAAAAGAAAAAGCTACTTAAGTAAACGAGCAATTAGTTACAAGGAATTACCCGCGCTAACAAGCTTGCAATACAAGCATGCATTGAAATTATTACATGTATAACTACAACGAAGTAAAACTGTGATTACTGTTGGTATTAGCATCTTCCAGTAGCTGCTTTCATGGATACTTGGACGCTTTGCTTTCCGCAACAAAATTCAAAGTGTGACTTTCCCGATAAACCTAAAATATTGCGTGGCTCTGAGCAGAAAATTTACATGTTTTTTTAAAGTGGCTTGACATTCATTAAACTTCAATGGACTCTGAAAACCTGTCAGCCGCTCAGATCAGAACAAACCTAGACATTTAGACAATATAGAACGAATTATGACCCTATTAAAAACAACGGAATGGGAGAAAAAAAAAAAACAGAAATTTTGCGAAAGACAAGCGCATTAACAGAAACAAGGATATTTAATTTGTGATAAAACTTAATTTTGGACAATCCAGACTTCTTTGGTTTTAACTAAGAAACTACAGGGAAACATAACTATTCAGTTTATTGACATTCCTGAAAGGACATTTGTCTCGTTTTGTTTTCAAAACATGAAGATGTATCAACAACACAAAGGCTCAAAAGCCGAATCCATTACACTAAGTAAACAAGTAAACGAACTTCCTGCTGCACGCTCGCTGCACGCATTTGCAAGCGTAATATAGTCACCGCGGAAGTTTTAAGAGCATACAGTAATTTTCAAGGAGTTATCATAACTGCTCTAGTGGGGTTAATTTACTTCCTTACAGTGGAGGTTTTTTTTTTCGGCGTTATTTTAACTCCAAAAAGGAGTTTAAAGAACTCTTTTTCAGGAGTAAAAATCACCCCATATTTGGAGTTAGTACTCAGGAGTTAAAGTAACCCCCAGAAAGGAGTTATCCTGTACGTAAAATTTTTACTCCATTTTTGGAGTGATAATAACTCCCTAAAAATAACTGTGCACGAAAATAAAATGGCGGCTTACGAGAATGAACTGGACCGAAATGAATGTGGGTTTATCAATAGCCTTCGTGTAAAACGTGTTAACAATAACGATACTCAAAGGATACTTAATTGACCTGGCTTTACATATTATATGTAACTTTGTACAAAAACATTGTCGAGTAGAGTTATGCAAGGCTTCCTATGAATTAATCCTTCATAGCGTCATAACTTTGCGAATATTTGACCAATTTCAATGAAATTTAGCCAACCAAATTATCCTTTAAATCTCTGAATATAGGCTTAACATATCTCTAACACTCCGTTGCGTATATGTATGTGCTAAAAAATATGTACTAAAAAGTTTTAAGCGTTCAATAATAATAATAATAATAATAACAATAATAATAATAACTTTATCTTATTGTCAATGTATTTAGCTCAACAGTTATATTAGCTAATTGGGGACACTTTCGTAAGAACTGGCACTAATCTATTACATGACTTTTAAATTAATGATCTTACCTAAAGCCTAAAACTATATACAAATGTAGATGACTCAGAATTTACACAAGTCACAGCAGTTACTATTATTATCTATATGGCTAGAAAGGTCCACACCGCGTATGTGTTTCTTGAATGCTTTGAGGCTTGTCAAGTTTCTGAGCTCACTCCTGACTTTTGACCAAATGAAAGGTCCTTGGTAGCGTTTGAAAAGTGAATTTAATATGTTACTGCGGGCGCAATTTCAGTGAAGAGAAACACATGATTTAGGGCCTGTTTACATGAAGGTGGGGGACCCCAGGTAGGTGTGGTAACATGTGGCGGGTACCCCACCCATCATGTAAACGTGATCGAATTAAAATGAAAGATTATATGGACACGCGGGTTACCTCACCTGCCTGGGGTCCCCCACCTCCATGTAAACAGGCTCTTAGAAAAATGGTTAAGATAGTTAAATTAACTAATTATTTAGTACATCCTTAACCATTATTCCAAATAATGGAAAATGAAACACGATGGAAACAGTACCTATGTACTGACTGTTTACTAATTATAAGACCGATTACAAGGTGTTAAACCTAGAACTCTAAAATAAAAAAGGTAATGATTCAGATGGGAAGACCTTTATAACAGATCACTCAATTCTTACCCCTTTTGTTGCATAAAGCTCTTGTTGTAATTTTTGTGTCTCTTTCTCCCCTTCTTTAGCGGCCTTCTGCCTTCCCAGCTGAAAATAAGAGAAAGAAAGCTTGCAAAGCAAGAACGTTGTCGTTGATGGTGACATACATGACTGTATAAGGCAGCTTAAACACCGATGACGGCGACGTCAACCAGACCGGCAAAAAAGCAATTGGTTTTAATAGATTTGCAAAACAACAACTCTGCGCGTGCATCACGCTTTTTTTGTACATTTTTTACCGTCACTGCACGACTACGACGAAACGCCCTGATTTCACGTTTTGTGGAAGAGGTGAGCACCAGAAAACGACTTTCTTTGTCTTTCTCTGAACTTTGATACTGTCTTTTAGAATTCAAATCTAAAACAATTTGCCAACATTTGACGAATTGAACGAGATGGAAAAAGCGCGATAAAGTTTAAAGCCGCGCGAATTCACTTTTTAAGTATTTTTTTGGTAGCCGTCACCGTCGTTGTTTCTCCAACGGTTCAATAGAGAAGTTACTTAAACAAAGACATTTTTCAGCAATGTACATTTTTGCCTCCTTAGCAATGGTCTCGCCCAAATTTTAGGGCAAATTGTCTCTATACGAGTTGAAACACTTAGCAATACAAATCTGGTGGCGTCAGGACATTAACAGGGAAACGGCCTGACTTCCGATTGACGTGCGTGGCTCGAAACGCCTCTACTGAAACCCCCTAATGTGTAGTCGACTGATTGTACAAGTGACTCTTCTGTGTTACTCTACATGCGAGCAAGCTTTTCAGTCGAGTTACATTGTTTGAAGCCACATGCAAGCGACACACGACAGGAGACAGGAGAGAGTAGGTTGAAGAAAGAAACGAGGGCTTTACTTTCCTCTGCTTCACACGTGCTCGTTTCGCTCGCCACACAAAATGGAAAGCTTGCTCGCATGCTTTTTTTTATAAAGTTTCATATTAGACAGCTGTTGGCAGTTTAAAGGC